TGAGTGAGGGAGAGGTGGTGTGTGTCTGGGGCTTTTTGCATTTCCTGTTTGCCGCCAAATTAGTGGATATTTCGCTTGATAGATCCCATATTAATTTGTATAATTTGTCCACCAAGACTCTTCTGGTGGCATAGGAGGCGTTAGAAGGGGCAGGGGGCATGGCCTGAGAGGCTCATTAGAGGGAATGGGAGAGGTAGTGTGGGATGAGGCTAGTCTCTTGGCCATTAAGGCGCCCACATAATTCCTAGCTCTGAAAGATGGTAAAAAAGGGCCCTATTTAAAAAAATGAAAGATAGGATAAAGAGAGAGCAGATTAGCCAGGGGAAGAGAGGGAGAGAGAGAGGCCCCAGCATTGTAGAGAGGCCGCAGGTGACATGAAAATAGAAAAGCCCCATCCGACACCACCCCACCCCAAAAAAAAAAACAAAAATAGTATATTAATGATGGTGGAAGGAGACCCCAAGAAGCTGACGAATGTTTATGATAAATGGATGGATAGGTGGAAAACTGTACTTAAGAAATGTGGTAATGAAGGAGGTGGCGGATGAGGAAGAGTGGTGGAAGATGCAAGTGGAGCAAATGGAAGGGAGAACATTGCGCAAAAAATATAAAAAGAATCGAAACGCATATTGAAATTCCAATATCCGCAAGAGAGCACACAGAAAGGACAGAATGGACAAAGAGAAATGCTCAAATTATGGCATATGCATAAGGAAAACAATACCAAAGAGAGTTTGGAACAGCAGAAAGAGGGACAGAGAAACGATAACATGGAAACATGGAAATTTAATGCAATGAAAATCAAATAAATTGCAATGAAAAAAGGCAAAAAACCAAACAAAGACAATGAAAAAGACAAAGACAAAGACAAAGAGACAGCGGATAGCGGATAGCAATCGCGAAACATGGTGCCCACCATGTTCTTCTAAAAGTGAGTCTCGATAGTCTAGATAGCCTAGAAGCAATAATTGTTCGTGCTACAAAGCTGTAGCAAATCTTCAACGGAGTGCAGATAAATGTACCCTATGGCATCTACAGGGTACTACGATCGGATCTCAGGTCATAGATCGGATCTGTGAAGCAGCTTATATACGAAATACATCTTTAAAATCATGCGAATACGAGAACGGTAATGATTTCCTTAACCTCTAAAACAGGGTATCAAAAGAATAAGTATTTGAAAAATGTATGAAAGGCATGCAAATGAAAGCACATCGAAAATGGATAGCGGGTATGTGTGGATCGATGAGGGGATAGAGCGCATAATGGATAATGAATACGGCAGTGTAGCACCAATTGCCAAAGGAACGCAAGAGAGCGGGACAGAGAAGAGAGAACGATAGAGAGAGATAGACAGAGAGAGAGAGCAAGAAAGAGAGAGCGAAAAGAGATGAGAGCAAATTTAACGATATTCAAAACTGGACTCGGCCTCGAGCCACGGCCGCCTCCTCTCTCCTTGACATGAATCGGGCGACGCATACATTTTGGACCATGCTCCTACGCCTCTCGCCTCTCATTTATTTATTTCTTCGCATTTGATATTGTATGTACATACGTTACGTGGTACCCCGTAGAGAGGACAAGAAGAAGGGCACATGTGGAACGTGGATAAATGTGACAGGACAAAGTAATGGATAAGGATTTCAATCTTGGCAACCTCAAAGGCTGGACCCACGAAAGTTATAGGGTTAAGATCATAAAGCCAAAGAAATTCTTCTATGGGATCCAAAGTGGTCAAGCTACAAAGCTCACATTTTGAATATCAACGAAGGGAAACGTTATACATATGTACATATACTTATACCCGGCACTTGGTCAGTATGGCTACCCTCCGCTAGATGGCGCTAGAAAGATCATGTGCAAGGAGCTGTGTAGATGCTACAAATTGATCGGTTCATTCTGGCTATAATAGTAATCAGATCTAATCAGATCTATCTGGTAGATATGGTCGCTCTCTATAGTTCTGCGTTTTCCATAGTTTAGTTTTCTCGTATCTTCAAAATTTAGGATGCCACAGATTTTCGTTCTTAATGGGGACTGAAGGGGGCGGATCGATATTTTGAAATACTCCTGAAACAGTGCGATACAACAGGAGTCTGGATACAAAGTTTTTGTTTCTCTAGCTCGTATAGTCTCTGAGATCTATGCGCTGATCGGAATGGACAGACCGACAGACGGAGATGGCTATATCGACTCGGCTATTGATGCTGATCAAAACTATATATATGTATGTATATGTATATGTATATGTATATGTATATGTATATGTATATGTATATGTATATACTCGAAGGGTATAAGGAAATACGAGATTTATGGTCATCCAGTTCATATATATACTATAGTCAGAAATGAGAGAAGTAGTTGCTATATACTTGTATTGCACTATACTGATTTTGTATTGTTGTTTCCCTGTTTAGAAGTTCCTTCCCCTCTCATTGGGAGAATGCCTTTCAAAGAGAATGGTCCTCTAAAATTTCAATCGAAGTACTTGGCAGGGTATTCCATAGTCGTTTCTCACGAGTGCTTTTAGTGTTTGGTTGCATTTTGCATTTGGTCGATGTGGAGGCAGCAGATGCAGATGGCAGTGGATCTGTGGCTTTCACTCGTGGAATGCGAGCAGCAGGAAAATTAGCTCAGATGTCGTTTGCTGCAGGGCTGCTGCTAATAATAATACGAGTAACAGCAGCCACAGCAGCAGCAGAAGAAGTTGCATGCCACATGCATTCATAATGACAAAAGTAAAAGGCGGCTTCGACAGAGGCAGCTCACGTTGCACATTGCACAGCTGTGAGAAAAAATGCGACTTGAGAACGAACGCCTTTCCCGGGCATCGGGGAGGTCCCACACACCCACAACCACACAAACGGACCGCACAAATATATATGTACATACGTTTGTATGCGGCGACTAGAAAAAGCTTTGCTGTCACTTTTTGTTGCCACCGGGCAAGTGTGCCTGCCCCTGCCACAGAAACTGCCACTGCTGGTGTTGCCGCTGCTGTTGCTATTTCTAATTTGCTGACCGACAAAACGGCGACACAAAAAAATGCAGAAAAACAAAACCCGCGTACGACTGCCGGATGAGTCATCCTCAAAAAGCGGATTTGGTCCCCAACTGGCTGCCTGCCACAACGCCATATCCAAGATCGTACCTGATGTTATGTGTGCAACATGGGATTTGAATACACAGCCATTCCGCTAACTTAGCACCTAATACGATATGCGGTATACGATATACGATAAACGATAGGCAGTGTGCCTATCCCCCACTTTTTTTTATCGAGGCTTCGAATCTTTTTGTTGCGATGCAAGCTCACAGATATTTCTTCCAGCACACCTTCCCAGTCGTGGCTGCGCTCTCTCTCGCGGCGTGGCTTAGCAGTACACGATCTTCCCCACTCCTCCGCTAGGGCTCCTCCAAAGAATCGAATACATATGTATGTATGTACATATGTACATAAGTGGAATATATTTTTGTGTAGATCTCCATCTGAAGATTCCCCCGCCTGTCACTGCCCTAATATTCCCCAATAGATCGCTAAAATCATTCGACCTCCCATGGAAATGTTCTTTTATTTTTTTTTTTCAGTTTGCTTTGCTTTGTCGTTGTTTTCTCACTTGGCTTTGCAAGGTAAAATTGGAAAATATTTATGAAAAATGACAACTGTCACTCACACTAGCACGTGGACACATGGATGGGATGGACTTTTCCTTGTATTGGGCGGGAGGGTGGCGCTCGTTTTATTTTTATTGTTGTTTTGAGGCCCTGTTCGACTTGGCAACATTTCAAAGATTCTTGAAAAATTATGACACAACAACTGCAAGGCGTTTTCCGGGGCGTTTCTTAACGGGAGGAGGTGTATGTGTGCGGGTGGGATAAGTGGAGAAAAGCCTCACAGCAAATTAGAAGTAAAGAAAAATCCAAGAAAACTTTTGAAAAAGCCAGGGAAACTCAGGAACCCACAGTAATACTTTCCTATTGTGATTGGTTTCTTCTCATCTCTCTTTGGATTCTCTATTCCTATTTTGTCCTCTATACTCCTCTTGTTTTCTCTTTTCTCTTTATCAATTCAATATTATTTTTATATTTATGGCATTATGTGTCGTCGGAGCAAGGGGTTTTCCGATCCGGATGTGTTCCGTCTTAGTTTTATGTATTTTTAAATGGACAGCAAAACACTAAAAGGGAGGTCTCGGCTCTCAGAGTTAGCCCGCCGGTATTACAGTGGGTATTAGGGGTATCCCTGGTAATGCATTATGATTAATGTTACATACATAAGTCCAATAATAGTCCATTTTAAGACACTTTTATGGTGTTTTATTTGAAAGAAATATGAATATGTTGGCTTTTTATATTTGTTGGGTTTTTTTTACTAAACTTAAATTAAAGTAATCCTCTGAAGGATGACAGTATGAATTGTCAATTTTTATGGAAATTTAGAGAAACCCCTAAACGATGTGTTATAAAGAATTATTGTATCTGCTAGATACCCGATAATCATTATGATTGGGTCCTTGGGACAGAATTAAGAAAAACATTTGTGCCTCGAAAAAACGTTACCTACTGCTGACTACCGAAGGTCTTCTTCTACTTCTTTTATTCCTTAATTACTTTTGCATTTTCTTTCGCAATTTGTATCCTCCTTTTATGCCTTGTCTTTCATTTAATCGGGAGTCCATTCAGGAGTATAAGTTTTACTATTATAGAGTAATTTAAAAGTGGTTTTTGTGCATACTGTATATTACCCAATAAATTACGAAATACTCTTCCCTGAGTAACCTTACTCTTTGCTCTCTTCTCTTTCTCTCCCTTCTTTTTTTTATTTTTGATTTTATTTTTAGCCCTCCATTTTTTTTTGCGCCTGTCGTCTGGAGCTTTTTTTGGGCCTCAATTATTTTGAAATTCATTAAAAATGTCATCTATTTTCAATATTTACATAGGGGCATCTCTTGATTTTTGTTCGGATTTCTGAATATCTTTTCCCCGATTTCTTTCAGTAAACTGAATTTTTAAAGGGGAATCAAAGGAAAGAGACAGACCACCACAGGGAGAAAAAAGAGAGACAGAGTGACAAGGAGAGCAGAAGCACACAAAAGGTGAGTAAGCTGTTAATCTTTAATCCTGGTATCCAGAGCTCCAGAGGGGCGCCCACGCAGTAGAAGTCCTCCTCCTCCTCCTACTCCATGAGAATTGTTGTGAGGACGTGGGCGTCTGGATCCATGGATCCCATGGAGTTGGACTCTGGATTCCCGCACCCATAAACATAACAATAAGCCATCTACTACACACTCTCCACACACTCCACACAAACAAATCGTTTTCTCGGGCCCACGCACTCTCCAGATCCGAGAGACGAAGACTCCTATACGATATCCATTCCATTCCCTTTTCCAGAACAGAACAGAATGAACCCCAAAACGCAGACAGCAACACAGAAAACAGAAACAGGTGGGGCATCATCATCATCAACATCATCATGATTATCATGATCATCGTAATTTTCAGAGGAGTCTTTAGAGGTTCCAGAAAATCCTGTTGGCTCTCCGTGGAATGCAGATTTCGAACTCGTTTACATGCGAGTGGTTTCTTCCACCTCATCTCTCTGTGTGCCACATCGCCCTGGCGCCTTTCTGTATCGCCCCCCCACCCCACTCCCACTACGGGCTGGAAGAGGTTATTTCTGCGATGCGGACCCTGTGCCTGTGCCCTTTCTGGGGGGTACTATTACTTTGAGGAAGTATCCTTCAGTTCTTCCACTATCCGAATAGAAGTCCAAATGGGTATATTTGTTTCCGAATGAATGTCCGAAGGGATGTCCATTTAAAAAAAAGGGTTTCCAATTGGACATCCAAGTGTTTCCGAATGGATGTCCAAAGGATAAATATATTTCCGAATATATCTGCAAGTGTTAAAGATTTTTCAGAACGCAAAAGATGCTTCAAAATGGTTAAAGCGGTTTCCGAATGGATGTCCAAAGGTTCAATATATATTTTCGAATGGATTTTCAAGGGTTAAAGATGTTTTGGAATGGATGTACCTTTTATTTTAGGAGTAAAGAGACAGAGGTGGGCCCTTACTTGGGCGAATGTCTCCTCCCGGCCAGCGCTCCTGCTTACCTCTCTCTCACTCTCTCTCTCTCTCCATATGTCTGTCTTTGTCTGTCTATCTATTTCTGTGTTCTAGTGTGTCTGTTTATGCATCTGTGTGTGTGTGTGTGCGAGAGCTTTGGCATCTTGTTTTGGGCTCCGGTTCCGGTCGCGGGGCTCAAAGAAGATTTCAGCTGCTGCTTCTGATGCTGCGGCAAAACAGGTTCCATTCCCAAAGAATTTTCGCCATATTCGTGTGTGTGCGTGTGTCTGTACAGTGAACATCCTCTATGGTAGAGAAGAAACAACTGGCAGATCGACACATCGTTTCCAATTGAAATGAACACTTTATCAAAAAAAAAAAAGTTGCTTAAAATGAAATTCATTCGTTATATAGGGATTGAAAATTGACTATAGCTCTAATCAGTGTGGCCATGGTTTGGCGTCTGACTATCATTCTATTTAGAACATTTTTGTATGCTATATTCAACTTTTGTATGTATAAATACATATATAGTTTTTTAGTTAGGGTCTGTTTTTAAATTTGACTTTTAGATGAGAATTTCCCCTATCTTAAATCAATATTAATATTTTTGGTATTTGTATAAGAAGTTTTATACAAACATTGGTCCTCAAATTCTATCTTTCACATAATGCATTTTCCATTGCTCTTTTGATATGGTTTTGTAAATAGTTTTGTTAACATTTGTTGTCTGAGAGTCTTCGGTGATTTCTTTATGTTTTTATTATACAAATTATTTATTTTATTTTCTAAATTTGTGTAATCTTATATACATATGCACGTATGTATACGTATAGATTATAGGGTCATATATGTACATATGTACATATATACATATATGTATGTATGTATATTTGTTATCTTTTGGGAAACTTTCACATCTTTCATTGAGAATGGAACTTGAGAACTTGGACTTTAAGAACTTCCCAGAATTCCAAAGAATTTACTAAAAAATCAAAGAGGAGAATGATTCTAGGTTATTATCTTATCCTCTATCTTAGCAAAGATCGAAATTCCATATTAATTTCATTTAAAAAATCACTTTCAGATTGTTGAGGACCTTGAGCCGTTTCTATTAGATTTGATGATTTGATTCATTGCATTTGATTTAACGATAACGACTTCTCTTTCCTCGGTTCCTTGTAGTTATCATTCACTGTTTCCAACGCGACGTACAAGAACGATGGGTAAATTGGGTAGGATGAGGCGAGGAGAGGAGGAGGGCTTTGTGTACTATAGTTCGTGATTTTTCTATTGCTCCTTTTCTGCCAGCAAACTGTTGCTTCTGCTGCTGAATCTGTAATGATCATAATAATGATCGAGTATGAGGTATAGGCATGGTTATGATGATGATGCTGATGAACCTTCTTTCTTTCTTCTGTTTCCCAGGTTTTATTGAACTCTCTTCTGCTCTTCTTCTGTTTGTGTTCTATGTGCTGTGTGCTGTGTGCTGTGTGCTGTGTGCCGTGTGTGTACTCTGCTCGTTTCTCTGTGTAAGTACAACTTGTAGCAGGTGTTACGTGTTTTACAAGCTGTTAACTGCCGCTGCTAATAGCCAAAAAGCAGTCGCCGAGACAAAAGTGGCAGTGGAAATCCTGAGAGAGGCGAGGGACAACATAACACACACTTCCCAATAGAGAGATGGTCGGTGGTAGATGGTATGCAACCACCATGTAGGGGCGGTCGTTACGCCTAGCATTTATTTAATGAACTTCAAAGATAGAGGCTTCTTTTGCCTTCATTCAAATTCAATTGTGGCGCCGCCTCTAACATTCTTCTACTTCTTTTTATGGTAATTCCTGACAAAAAAAAATTCAAATGAACAAAAACAGTGGGGGAATGACGAACCGCTTGGAACATACAATACTCGTATATTTATTTTCCATCAAATTCATGTTTTTTTAGTTTGATTAATAACTCGAATTGGTCACACATTCGAATGTATACGCCATGAATTAACATGAATACGTCACCAAATGAGTGAACAAAAAGAAGGGGTGAACAAATGTGTGTTCGTGCCTCTGTTTCTGTTTCTATTTCTGTTTCTCAGTTTTTTTGGTTAATCGAATTAACTTTTTAAGCCAACAAACCAAAAGAAACAAACAGCCAATTAACGTGTGCTTCTGCAGCACAATAGAGGCAACAGTCTGACAGAGGCATGAGGCAGATCCCCTCAAAGTAGCGGCCTCGGCCTCGCAAGATCATATTCCATTTTTGGCCGAACGGTGAATAACGTTGCAACATCTGCTTGCTGCCTGCTGTTTCTACTGAAACGTATAATGTTGTGCAGCAAAATTGTTGGCAGAGATTTAGTTTGAGCAACATTTGAATAGAAACAAGAATCCAAGAATCTAAGAACGGAGAGAGTCGAGAGTTAGTAGTCGGATCGTTTATCGATTGTCTTGCAAAGGCAGCACAACAGTCGACAGCAACATGTCTTTTGTTATCGAATAACAGTTCTCCCATTTCCCATTTCCCATTCCCATTTGTGCAACATTCCACAGATTGTGCCACAATTACCGTAACTGTTACTACTTTTCCTTCATCATGTGACGTAAACTGTATAAGGGCTGCCCCATTGTTGTTGCGTGCAACAATCGACTTTTTAGACAAGCCAGCTCCTTGAATTCTGCCAGCGCTGTTCCTGTTTCCTCATCCCTGATTGATACCCCTTTTCAGGTTGGGTATTATGATGCAGATACCGACCGAGGGCCGCTGCTGCTGCACGCGCGTTATCTGTTGAAACGTTGCTCATAATCATGTTTATCCTGTAGGAATCGGATCAATCGGAAAACATTATCGATCCTCTCATTACATAGGAATCATAGGATCAATCAAGGGGTATAGAAGCTTCGATGCTCCCCATTTTCTTTTGGTTTTTCTTCGATAAAGGAGTACCTCTAGCCACTCCACCGCTCCAGTGCTGCTGCTGCTGCTGCCGCTGTTGTTGGGCCCAGGAATGCGCATTAATTTTGCAGCACACGCAACAGCAACGGGGCAGGGCAACAACAAGAACAACATGGTAGTGCATGGGGCAGAAACCTGCGTCAATTTCGCGCTTTACTTTTGTTGTCAGATGTTTTAAATCAGCGTCCCCAGTCCGTCCGTCTCTCGAGCGGGCTCTGCGCTCTGGGGCGCGGGCTCTTGAAACTCGGGGATCGGTCCGGGGGTCTGGCCGCACTGTGTAGGCAGTCCGGTTTGCTCCTTGCGTTAACAAGTGGAGCCAGCCACAGCCACAGCCACAGCCACAACTGAGGCAACTGAGGCAACTGAGGCACCAACCAATGTCTGTGTTGTCTGTAGCAACATCGAACGCGGCGGCAGCTGCACGCGCCTCGCGGACCCCAATAATGACTATCAAATGGGAGCCGCGTTGCGCGATTTATGTGCGTCAAGAGGCTGTTGGAGGATGGAGGACAGGACTGCGTGGAGCAGGCTGTCTGTCTGTCTGCCACAAGGGGGTATGGGGTGCGGGAGGGGGACAGGAATGAAGAGGATACTTTCGTACCTAACGACTGGGGCGGCCGTTTTCTTGGAATTCCGCGCGCGCTTTTGTGTTGTGGCATCGTTTAAATTTCAAATCGAGACCCAAACTGTCGCTTGGCTCCAACTTGTTCTTGCAACCTGGAACCCTGAATGCACTCCTCCTGCTCTGCTCTGTGTGGCAGGGGCAAGGCCAGGGGAAGGGGCAGAGGCAGCAGCTCATAATAATGACACGCCATTAACAATCTGCTGGTGGGTACGACAACGACGACGACGACGACGAGTCCTTGGCAGTCCAGTTTAAATGGCACATCGCTGGGCCAACCGACTGCTTCCGTTGCCGCGCCCCACTGTCCAGTCAGCAGTCACCGGCTGCTGCTGCTTCGGCTGCTGCTGTTGCAGGTACAGTAGGGCCCAAGATGTGGTATGTACCATACCATACCATCCATCTGAGGGTACTTCTTAGGGCTGTGGCTTCGGCATTCCCCGCGTATGCCAAATATTTGCAGGGAGGCGAGAGTCAGTTGGTAATGGAGTCATCCATCAGACATATCCCCGGGTGTTTCCGGCCATACAGATTCTGAAGAGATTCCTTTTATCAGAGAGGTTTTTCGATCTCCCAGAATATAAATGGAATATTACCGATGGATATACTATATAATACTATGGATTCATCAGGGAAAACCTTGTTTCCTGTGGGAAATCAACGAAATCTAACGAAGAGAGGGAGAGAGCGTCAGCCCTTTCCAAGCTCTTATCTTTGATTGAGACCTAAATGAGGGGAAAATATATCTTCCACCGGTTACCTGGCTCGAAATCAATTCCATTTAATGAGGAGAATGAAATCGAATGTGCTGTTCAATTTAACTCTCAAAAAGAGCTTTAGAATTTCTCGAGCTTCGAGTTGAAAATAAGTAACACGTAAATCAAAAGAAGAGCATCGGAGCGTAAGCTATAATCCTTGATTCAGACTTGCAGGAGCCAAAGTATCAACTGATTTCAGATTTCAAACTTTAAAGATACGAGTAGTATTTATTTTTTCATTCAGATAATAAAAGATTCCTAGAGATCCAGACCCATAAACATAAAGCCATAAAACTAATCGTTCCTTTCATCTCCTTCCAGAGGCGACAAACAATTCCCGGGTGGAACCAGAGCCATGGCCCGACTGGTGACCCTGTGCCTGGCCCTGACCCTTATCCTCAGCCTGGCTCTTAGTAGCAGCACCTCCTCATCCTCCCCCTCAACCCTAGGGGTGTACATCGAGCGGGCGCCCGAATCGGCGGTGGCCCCCAAAGGCGATGAGGTCGTGTTCGAGTGCGAGATGAACCTGAAGCCCGATCGACTAGAGTGGCGCTTCCGGGAGAATGGATCCGTGGCGTACCGCTACCTGAGGCCCAGCGGCGGTTACAATGTGACGAACAGCAACGAGGAGCGCACCTGGAAGCTAAGGATCTACGTGAGTCCACAGACGGTGGGCGACTACCAGTGCGTTGCCTGGTACGGGCCCGGGGCGCTGGCCTCGACGCCCGCTCGGCTCACCCTCGTCTCCATTTCGATCGACAATCCCAACGGCTACAGTCGCCCGCATGCGGTACGCTGGAGCGTGGCGCCCCGTAATTGTGTCCTCATTCGATGTGGCACGGTGACCTCCAGTCCGCCGGCCATCTGGAGCTTCTACCGGAACGGGGAGAAGCTGCCGCAGACAGAGATGCTGGTTTCGGGAGCGGGCGGGGCCCTGGTCCTAAGCTCAGTCGGCGCCAAGGATGCGGGGAACTACACCTGCGCGGCAACCAATGCTATCACGGGGGTGGAAGTCCGCCTGCCCCAAGTCATCGACCTTAGGGTGGACTACACGGACCGCACGCAGCCCTACTTTCTCCAGCAGCCGGCGAGCCAGCTGCAGGCGCGCCCCGGCGAGACTATTATCCTGGAGTGCCCCGGCGTAGGCTCTCCCAGGCCAGAGGCCGTCTGGAGCAGCCCCACTCTCCCCAGCATCAATCACAATCGCAGTCGAGTGCTCGCGTATGGTCTGCAAATAACCGATGTACGGCCGGAGGATCAAGGCTCGTATGTGTGCCGCTTGGACAACGGTATAGCGCCCGTCCGTGTGCACATGATCAAGCTGCAGGTCCTGGAACGCCCCAGCATACTGCGCGGACCAGCGGCCACGCTCACCAATGAGGGCGACTCCTTGACCCTTGAATGCTCGGCCACAGGCAATCCCCAGCCGGAGATATACTGGCTACTCAACGGCGAGGATGCGAGCACCGACAACGAGACGCTTGCCGAGAACCGCAGCCTACTCATCCATCACGTGCAGAAGCGGCATGCGGGAGTAGTGCAATGCTTTGCGAGGAATACCCTGGGAGAGGTAAGCAGAGCAGATCTGCAATCCTTTGATGAATGTTCTTCTAATGCGTCATCTCATGTCTATCCACAGATCAGCGAAGGAAATATGCTGCGTGTGAATCCCCTTCAGATAAGCGGTGAGGATTACCAGCCTTTGGGGAATGTGCCGATGCGTTCGTCGCATGATTCGGGCAGTGGAGGGTCCTCCTCGGGCTCTGGCTTCTCCTCGTCCTCTGGTAGCGGCGGCGGATCCCGCAACAAGGGCAAGCGGAAGTACAACCGTCTGGGTGAGTCAATGATTGAATGATTGTGATTTAATGTGATTTTTGCATCGTGGATTGCGGATGGCCACGCCCATTCTGTATTTTTCTTGTGTGCGATAGATCATTTCGCTGAACATTCAAGTGATGGCTTCTTAATCAATAATTATCGATAGCGGCTGGCCAGGCTATCGATTGTTGCTGGCCAGCCCCGTCTCCCCCCCCCCCCCCCCCCCCTCCCCCCCTATCTTATCAGCTAGCGGGACATTTAGACGAACCAATAGTGAAAACTTATAGACTAGAAACCCCCGATAAAACGATCCATGTACTCCTCATCGTACTCTTCTTCCTCCTGCTCCTGCGGGTACTCCTCCAGTTGTTCCTGCTCTTCCTCTGTTCCGCCTACTGCTGCTGCAGTGACATTCTCCAGGAGATCATCTCATGAGCTGCTGCTCTTGCGCAGCTGCTCCTCCTCCTTCTGCAGGATACGGATCTTCATCTTGAGCTCCTCGACGCGCAGCCGGTGCACCTCCCGCATATACTTGAGCTCATCCTGGGCCTTGTTCAGCTCGATGCGCTTCTTTTCGGTTGTTAGCTGCTGCTCCTTGCACCGCAGTTCTGCCTCCCGCACCTTGAAGTAGTTCATCCGCTCCTCATAGCCATCCCCAGCCGCCGATCCAACCGCCCCGCCGCCCCCACTCGACCCATTGCGGACGGGACTGCCTGCATTGGGTATCGTTGCCGTTGCCACGGGCACTGCCGTGGCTGCCGTCACCGTGGGCATGGCGCTGAATGTAAAGGTGGGCGTACCGCCAGTCAGCTGCATCTTTACCGCCGCCTGCTGCTGCTGCTGTTGCTGTTGTTGCGCCTGCTGTTGCTGCTGCTGCTGTACGACAACGGCTGCCGCCTGCTGTTGCTGGTGATGCACTGCAACCGCCAGCTGCTGCTGCTGGGCCGCCATCTGTTGAGCCTGTGCCAACTGCTGGGCCTGTGCCTGGGCCTGCGCCTGCGCCTGGGCCTGTTGCTGCTGCTGGGCCTGATACTGGGCGAGAGTGATCTGCTGGGGCTTGATTTCGCTGATGATTTGCTGGTTATAGCCCCCAGCGGTGATGGTGGCCATGGTATGCTGTTGCGCCTGCGTGGGTATCGTGTGGATTTGTGTGGCTATATAAAAGAGGGGAATATATATAGTATAGTATAAGGAGGATTCTTATGGAAGTCTGTCCTACCTGTCGTATCCGAGGGATGCTTGATCTGCAGTATGATCTCCTCGCGTGGTCGCGCCGACTTAAAGTGCAGCAAATCGTTGAGGGTGAGCTTCTCGGCACTGATCTGATCCACATTGATCTGGTGGGTATTGAGCATATTGGCATTTGCAGCCGCCACAGCCGCCACTGCGGCACTCTGCATCTTTTGCATCTCTACGGCTGCCGTCTGTTGCTGTTGTGCCTGGGCTTGGGCCTGTGCCTCGGCCTCGGCCTGCGCGTGCGCTTGCTGCTGCTGCTGCTGTACCTCTATGGGATCTTCCTCGATGTCATCGCTGACATCGTTAGCATCCATTTCGATCTCATCGAATGTGTCGCCCTGGGGATTGGGCTCCGATTCATCGGGGCTGATGACGAAATCGGGTTCCACCTTGACGGAGACGGTGCGTTGCTGTTTGGCCCTGCCACCGCCACCACCAACACCACCACCACCACCACCGCCGCCGGCACCGGTATATGCGGAGGAGCTCTCACGATACGGATACTGTTTGCGGAGCCTGAAAGACATCGGGAGAGTAGACTCTTTAGATGGAGCCATAGAGAAGGCTTTAGAGGGTCTACCCACCTCGAGTTTAGCCAAAATTTCTGGATCTGCTTGATGTTGCGCAAGGCACTGACATGCGGATGAGAGTTAAAGTCGCGCACGATCTTGTCCCAGGTCTCTCGGACGGAGTACTTGTTGCGTTGCTTCTTCCGGTGCTTAATGTCGATAACATCCTCATGGAGATGAAAGAGCGTATACAGAACCTCCTTCTCCTCGGGAGTGAAACGCGGCGTGAGTGGCAAATGCGTTTTATTCGAGCCACCGTTACCACCAGATGCAGTGGTGCTGCCATTTCCGCCATTGTCACCGCCAGCGCTGCCGCCATTCGCTGAACCCCCACCTGCGGCACCCTCCACCCCCGACGACATTCTCCTTCTTCTTCCCGCCGTTTGTTTTGAGTGGGTTGGCGTCGGTCTCGGACTCGGATTCCGAGTTCGACTCTTGAACAAAAATCAATTGCACTCGTTTTCCTTATACACACGAAAAATGCTCACACGAATATGCACACGCACACACACAGGTGGCAGCGCTGTGTGGCTGAGTGTCTATTTGTGAGTCGTTTTTCTGTCGTCTTTCGTCTACTTTTGCACTGTTTCTATGTTATTATTGCACTTAATATAACTATCAACTACTGTACGTACGATGTACGCTAATTAGCTAAACACAAAACACATTACACATTGAGGCGGCGCGCCTCGCTTTTATTTATGGCAAATTATTTTTCCCCTGAATTTCCGCGCAATTGTTGTCAATTGTCGAAACGTACAGCAGCGAAAATTTTAGCTCAATCTGAGTATAGAGGTGAAAAACTATCGATAGCACTATCGATGGTACAGAGTTAGGTATGGGTTGAAACTACCGATGCCACTATCGATTTCTTGCGTGTCTGGCAGCGCTGAATGGGCGCAAAATATGTGACCATCACTTTTTAAGAGAGCTCCACAAATTCATTGAATCTTTATGCATTGCATTTAAAATTAAAATAAAGTTAATAAGGATGATTGTCAATTGCAGACATGGTGCCACCGTCACGGCCCAATGTTACCCGTTTGGCCGACGATGCCGTCATGCTGCGCTGGAACGTGCCGCGCAACGACGGCCTCTCCATCAACTTTTTCAAGGTGCAGTATCGCATGCTCGGCGACAGCTTCCGTAAGATTCCACGCGAAAACTGGCAGACCACCAACGAGAACATACCCTACGGTTACTGGAAGGCAACGCGCGGACGTGATCGCCACGACCGGGACCAACAGCAGCAGCATGAAGTAACCGTCGGCCCCAAGAACTTCACGTCGTCGGTGACGGGACTGCGACCGGATCGGTATTATCGCTTCCGGATCGTGGCCGTCTACTCGAACAACGACAACAAGGAGGGTAACACATCACTCAAGTTCTTCCTAGAGAGAGGCGTAGCCAAATCGAACCTCCCGGTGCCCGATCTGCGCGACGTGGAACCCTACTCCGAGTCTGCCGTTCTGCTGCACTGGACCCTGGCCGCTGCGGCTGTCCCGGCCACAGCCACGGGCTCCTCATCCGACAGCAGCATCGATGGCTACTATGCGTACTACAGGCCCACTGACTCGGCGGGCGAGTACCTCAAGGCGACTGTGGATGGCGGCCATACGCGCCGTTTTAAGATCGATATGCTACGAGCGGGTACCGCCTACGAGTTCAAGCTGCAGACCTTCAATGCCCATGCGGCCTCCGAATTCAGTGCCATTCGTCAGGCGCGGACAAAGAGTGAGTATTCCTCTCGTGACTTTTTTTTGGGCAGTCCTTTGAATTGTTCCCCTTTTGCAGAGCTAAATGAGCCGACAGCATCGTCTACAACGCCCCTGATGGTCCCCGCCAACCAGGGGAAGCCGTCGCAGAGCTCCATTTACCCGGTGATTGCCGGTGCCGCCGTTGTGGGCCTGCTACTGCTGATTGCAACAGTGGTAGCATGCCTGCGTCGTCGCAAGAATTCCCAGCCAGAGGGTGAGTCCTGCCATTGAACCCGGATATTTATTCAGTATTGAATCTGACGCTTCCCCGCAGATGAGAACAAACCGCAATTGGAGCATATACAAGCTGACTTTGTTACCTCCGCCGTGCTGGGGGTTGGCGGGCATCACAAAAGCGGCGGCGATGTGCGACGCCTGAATGGCGTTATACCGCGCATGAATATCACGCCTAACCCGCTGGCCCAGGACACTGCCTCCGACAAGGTGAGTATCTCCAAAGGAGATATCTATTTTATCCTTTCACTTAGCTTCACATCCGGTGTTCGAAATACACACCTAAAAGTTTTCGCTGGTTGGTTGGTCAAAATTAAAAAAAAAAACAACGAAAAACAAAACAAACAAAAAACATTTGGATTTGGAAGCGTGACCCCCTGTCTATCCCTGTCTCTGTCCGTCTCGCTTGTGCCTCTGTGCTCTCTGTGCTCTGTCTCTGTCTATTTCCTGGTCTCTTGGCTGCTTTTGGGCTTTGCTTTGTCGTCTTCTGTCTGTCATCTGTGTTCTGTGTTTCCCCATCGCCAAACTCTGCGTCCAATGTTCTAGAACCGCAACGTCATGGAGCTGCGCTTCATGCCGCCCTTGTCTAATGGCCATGGAAAAGGCAATGGGATCCACTGCATACCGGGAGGAGGACCTGGAGAGGCGGCAGAAGATGAGGATGCCCTCCAAGCAATGGCTTCGTCCTCCTGCGAGACATTGGAGGCCTGCGATGGCATCAGCCAGCAGCAGCAGGAGCCATCGCCATCGATGGACGCCCCCAGCAAGCCACTGCCGCCGCTGCCCAAGAAATCCACATCCGCCACCAACGCCACTACAGCAACAGGTGCTGGTGCAGGTTCAAGCTCTGGCAAGCCAGTAAACGTAAATACCAACCCAACCATGATGAGATTGTTTTTTGTCCATGATGTCATCCATTCGCCCAGCATTCGATCAGCAAAGCACCACCCGGATCAACAGTCAAACCCTTACTCATCTATTGATTCTTTCTCTTATTCTACCATTTAGGGCAACGCTGGCGTTGTGGCAGCCATGCATCAGAGCGGTCTGCACCATGCCCAGCCGTATCATCCGCCGGGGACACCAACTATGCTACACAAGCGCCTCGATTACCACCAGCAACAGCTGCAGCAGCAAGCGCCGCCAGTGCCGCCACACGCCTCCTACTACCAGCAGCAGCAGGCGCCTATACATCTTCCTGGAGCCTGCGGGCCCTCCCCCATGTTGGAGCGCAGTGTGCGGGGTCTGCAGCAGCACCAGCAGCCGTCGTACGGGGCCGGCTTTCCTGAGGACGGTACTCCCACACCATCGCGCATACCCTCGCTGCGGCGACAGCGACGCGCCTCGGGCAGCCAGCATAACAGCCACAGCAATCTCAATCTGAACCACCATCAGCATCACAATAACAACAACAACCTGCCGCCACACCACCAACATCTGCACCACCATCAGGGGCACCAGGGTCTGGTAGGCATACCGATTGTACCTGGCAGTCCACGGGTGCAGCGTTCGCCGATGCCCAGCCGTGCGATGATCAAGCGAACGCGACTCGGCAGCCACACGGACAACATATCGTCCGGCAGTCTCAACAGTATTGAGGTGTAGGTCGAAGGAGGAGCATCCAATTAGACAAGAAAGAACAGCAGGAGCCTAAGCACACGAGACACGAGTTAAGACTAGCGACATATATAGAATATATATTATGTATTATTACAATTACTATTACGATACCCAGGCTTGCAAATGCAGTCGGAAACAGAAGATCTATACCCTCTTTATTTTTATACCCGATACTCAAAAAGAGTATAGGGATATATTAGATTTGTGGTGACAGTGGATGTGTGTAACACCCAGAAGGAAGCGTTTCCGGCCCCATAAAGCATCAATATTCTTGATATATATTCAGCATCAATAGCCGAATCGATATAGCCATGTCTATCTGTCCGTCGGTCCGTCTTCATGAGCGCCTAGATCTCAGAGACTAAGTAGTGCAACCAAATTTTGTATCCAGACTCCTGTGATATCGCACTGTTACAAGTGTATTTCGAAATTTCGCCCCGCCCCTTTCCGCCCCCACTGTGGCATGCACAATTTTGAAGATACGAGAAAATTAAAAGCGCATAATCATAATCATAATCATAATCATACAAAATTACCCTATCTCGAAGATTTTCAAATCTGGGTCAGATCAGATCATTATTACAGCCAAAAGAAAAAGATTCAATTGCAGTGGCTACGCAACACCTTCCACGCGCTTACCCATTCCCTCTCTTTCACACACTCTTCCTAATGCAGTGTGCGCACTCTGGCGGAGGGGAGCCAAACTGACTGAGTATCGGGTATAAATTTAGAGTCGCGGCCTAAGCTGCGACTCATAACGTTCCTGCTCGTTTTTTTTGTTAGTCCCCCGACCCCTGATAGTCAGTAGAAATATTATATTTAGTTTTAATTACATTTTTTTTTTTAGGTATCCTTTCATTGATGTTTCAGACCCGTAGTGTAGAGATAGTGTTATTTATTTATTGCATCGTATGTGTAAAACACTCGAATTAATTGTCTAAGGCAAGCGACTATCCTAACGCTGGCTCGCAATAGTCGCACACGAAAAGTGTAACTAATGTACATATGTATGCATCATCGTACATCCGCATCCATCCGCCAGCACGCATCCTATTCTAGCTATAAGATTATCCAATAGACGATAGACAGACCAGACAGTTAAGAAAAATACTTAAAATACTTCATAAGTATAAACTGATTCAAATTTTGGATTTAATTACTTTTAAGTTAATGTTTAAATCGAATCTTGTGGAGATGAACGACTATGTTCATCTCTTCTGATCGAGTGCACAAGAAACTGAATTTACTAGAAAAATCAGACAAAAAAGGCTCCGGAATCGGACAGACCATCGGGATCTGAAGCAACAATTGCTTATAGGTATTTAATGAGGGGGGTTAGAGCTGAACAGATTAACAATAAAACACAGAAACAATGTTATACACGGGGAATTTTGTTAGTGGTACTCATTTTTTCTATTCAGGTATCAGCTTCCTGCGAGTCCTTTTTTGACCCAAAGCGATGTGCAAAAGGTTCGAAGCGGTAAGGATTAAATGATTTATACATAATAGTAGGACCCACATGGGCACAAACTTGGCCTTTGAGCGAATAGCTCAATGGAGTAGTTTGTGCCAAGCAAAGCGCCGTCCAGGTTGCAGACATCGTTGCAGATGGGGCAGCAGACGGGGGCAAAGACGGCCCTCTGGAATTTCTTGAGCATCAATTCGAATCGGGCGTGGATCCGTTTGCAGAGCTTCTCGGCGCTAGCATCCACATCGTGATCATTTCCAACATGGGAACCTGACCGGGAGTTGAGGTCGGGGATCACTTCGAGGGTGCTGCGATAGTTTTCCGTGTCCAGGAAGATCAGGTTGAACTTGTCATGGATGTAGTCCTCGTTCAACATTGTGAAGAACTCGTTTCCGCACTTCTTTTTTTCATTGTTCGACATCTCACCTTATTCACAATTGCGAGAATGCCCTCCGAATGCCCGATAATTCAATAGAAAATGACAATTTTTATTGTTAAAATGTCAGGAGTTGAGCACAGCTCTCGCAACTGAAGAAACCCCGGACGTGAATGGAACAGTTGAAAAAGTTACCTGCTCAAACCTGCTACCATAAAGCGGCCATTGAAAGTTCTGCAATGTATCAAGAATCAAAGATGTTATAGATGTTTACCCAATGCTTAAGTTTTTTTTAGAACATTGTTGATATTTTTTAGTAACTATTGCCAGCCGGGAGCGAAGTTTTTGCAAGAGAGATTCAACTCTTTTGTTGTATCGAAAACGAGAATCCTACTCATTTTGAATTATCGAAAAGTTTTTTAGGCCAAAGCACGCAAAGTTAATTATATTTATATGTAATTAATATTTCAAAAAATTTTATATTAAAAAAAAACGAGGGGGAACGTTGTGAGTTGCTGCGGACACCGCAACTCTACAGTTATACCCGATACTAAGTCAGTATGGCTCTCCTCCGGCAGACGCCGCTAATATTAAACGACACGACAAAGAGTGCGTGCGAGAGAGACAGAAAATCAGTCTGAGCGTGACGTCGGGCGCTGCGTAGCCAGTGCAAATTGATTTGTTCCTTTTGGCTATAAAAATGATCTGATCTGATCCAGATTCAGCAATCTAATAGATATGGTCTTTATCTATGATTCTGCGTTTTTAGTTTTCTCGAATCTGCAATATTGTGGATGCAACAGATTTTCGTCCTTTGTGGGGGCGGAAGTGGGTGGGGCGAAATTCTGAGATATACGTTTTATAGTGAGATCTAACAGAAGTGCGGATACCAAATTTGGTTACTCTAGCCTTAATAGTCTCTGAGATTTGTGGATGCCTCAGATTTTCGTCCTTTGCGGGGACGGAAGGGGGTGTGGCGAAATTTGGACACGAAACGGTCAAGGTCCGATATCACAGGAGTGTGGATACCAAATTTGGTTGCTCTGGCTCTTATAGGTTCTGAGATCCTTGAACTCATATTTTGCAATTGGCAAAACCGACCATGAAACCTGTGTGTTAGAGTGAGACAGAGCGAGAAAGAGTGAAATTGTTTTCGTGATTCTGGCTATAATAATTATACGATCTGGTTCAGATTTTGCACTCTGTAAGATATAGTCATCTTCTACGATTCTGCTTTTTTAGTTTACTCGTATCGTCGAAATTGTGGATGCCACAGATTTTCGCCCTTTGTGGGGGCGAAAGTGGGCGGGGCAAAGCTTTGAAATATTTTTGTAGCAGTGACATATCACAGAAGTCTGGATCCAAAACATTGTTGCTCTAGCTCTTATAGTCTTTGAGCACTAGGCGCTGAAGGGGACGGACAGACGGAGGGACGGACAGACGGACATGGCTCAATAGACTCGGCTATTGATGCTGATCAAGAATATATATACTTTATGGGTTTGGAAACTATTTCTTCTGGACGTTACACACATCCACTTTTACCACAAATCTAATATACCCCAATACTCATTTTGAGTATCGGGTATAACAAATTATAGAAATTATTTTTAAAGGGCGCCCCTCATGTTTTGCCTTGACAGCATATCATATAATATCATATAAGCCCGGCCCTGATGCAGTTATGATTGGGAATGGCCAACTGGTTGATAGATCAGATATTATTCAGAGGGATCAGAAGGAAACGTCATAGTTGAGTGAAAAGCTTTAAAAATTACTGCTGAAAATGATTGGACCAGGATTTTATACATACATTCGCGTCTCGCTTAAGTCTCACTCGTCTCCTCGTGCGGCTTCGTTTTTTTTTTTTTTATTAGTTTTGTGGTAATCATAGAAAATTACTTACCTAACAGATCGTCGAATCTGATTCATATCGGATCATTAGTATAGCCAGAATGAACAAATCAACTCGCTGTGGCTACGCTGCCTCCTTCCATTCTCTCTCGGTTCGATCGATTTTTATTACATTTTTTTTTGGCAAAAAATCAATTTGTCCATTTTGCGAACGGTGAAACCAAATCATATATAAAACCACGGATAGAATATGTTGTATAGGTTACATAAATCATAAGCTCACATTCATGTATACTGACGGAGTATCGGGCATACAAATTTGTATTCTCTGCTATTTGTGATCGGAAAAGTCTTCTTAGCATTCTGATTCCCCACGGTTGATGTTGATGTGCAAATCGAGCACGCTTTCGAGCTAACCGAAAGAATCTCCCTTGTTCTTTTACAAAAATGTACACGATAACAAGAATAACATGATATTTCTTCAAAAGAGCGGACCAGAGAGAAGCGTGATGATAATACAATCTTCGATTGTCTGGATTCCCGGCTGCGATGGACAGGCGTTTGTATTCCAAGATATGATAAATTACATAAATATCAAGAGAGAAAGAATTGCAAGACTCCGTCTGTTTGTTTTGTTTTTTTTTTTGTAATTTAATTTAATTTACATTAAAAAATATAATTTGTAAATAATGAAATATAATCCATAATTCATCTATCAATTTGTCCAGATGTTTTGTTGTTGTTTGAATCCATTGATCGATCTGAATTATTTGATCTGTTTTGTTTTTTGGCTGTTTGGCAATTGAGTTTCGAGCTTGATTTTGATATTTTTATATTGACATTCAATTTGACTGTGATTTTGAGTTGGTTTTAATTGTTGCTGTTTTGGTTTATTGACTTCATTCTGTTCATATTCATATGGCACATATATATGGCAAGATATATACATGTATATATATTTTTAGATATATATTTAATAGAATTATATAAATTGTATTGCTTCAGAAAATTGTTGTATAATAATCTCAATTATTGTTTAGGGCGGGAGTCACGGGTCAGTGGACACTAGTGGAAGTGTGGACACTTAAGCTTCGGCCTCAACCTCCTCCTTCACCTTGGCATCGCCGGGTTTGCCCTTGGACCAGTCGGGTTTCTTCTGCTCGTCCGCCAAGGATGATGATTTCGATGATAGATATCATGATGAAAAAACGAGAAAATACATTGGAATCAATAAGCGAATCGCATGTGGTTTGCCAACAGAAAACAGGGGATGCTCGGGGGGACCAACAATTGTGCCGACACTAAACTACTTCGAGGTGTACAGTACATTCAAAAAGTGTTGTGTGAACGTGTGACTAAGCTACTGACTACAGACTGGCTACAATCGGAGCAATTCACAGATAAATAGAAGACAGATATCGGAGATCGGTGTGTGCGACAATAGATTGAGATAGATAGAGAGATACAATAACGACAGAGTGGGTTACAGTGCGGTACACTCAGGTGCTCAAGAAATACGAACAAAATATGAGTACAGGTAGGTACATATGTAGGATCGCACACACACACTCAGAGTTCTTACACTTTTTGGCTTTTGTAAGCACAGCGGCATCTTTTATCTTTTTCTAAACGCAGATGGCAATGTGTGACATTTTTCGTAGTTGGTGGTGGTCGTGAAGAGAGATCGTAGCATACAGAAATATTATAGATATCAGATTTGCCCCAAACCCAAAGAAAGAGAAAGAGAGAGACTCACTCGAGCTATCCCACAGAACTTACCTCCTTCTCTTCCTCCTCCAGTGTGAACTCCTTCTTCTTCACGACCTTAAGTTGGTTGCGGAAGTTGAACTCAGCGGCCTTCTTCTGCAGCTTGGCGAATTTGTTTTCGTATTTGGAGACCTTCTTCAGGGCTGGCTTGACGCTAAAAGAATCGAATCGAATGATCAATTAGTAATCGCTCGATCTCGAGGTAGATTCTCCGGAATAAAATACTTACAACTTGCCGCGAAGATCGTTAACTTGGGCATTGAGATCGTTGATCTGTATTTACGCGATTGAGAGGGGGAGAGAAAATGACTTCGATTAGTACACTTGATACACTCGATAGACACTACTGTTTATCGACACATAATGCTATTGCTACTGGCGGGCAACTATCAAAATCAAAATGCTGAAAGAAGAAGTAGGTCGGGAGCAGGCATGCACAGGAAACGGGTAACGCTAGAAGAACACTGGATGCACATATAGACATATGGATGCGTACATAGATCAGAATACTCTGCCAAATACTATAACTAATGCTTATACTAGTGCGTGCTTTTTTTGGGTGAGTGAGTGCGAGCAAGCGAGCGACAAAGCGAGCGAGCCAGCGATTCGAGCCAAGTTCTTTACGTTCTAAGTCGCCTACTACTTTGGGGAAGATTTTTTTTTGGCATGGAAGAGTGGTTGTGGTACTTGTACTAGTATTGGTACTGGTACTGCTACTGATACTGGAACTGGCACTGGTACTGGTTTGTGGTATCTGGTGGCGGTCGTTTTTAGGCATTGGCTTTTGTCTTTTGGTGGTGGTGGTGGGTGGACAAACATTTGCTTTTCTTATGATCGAATTTTCTTTCGTAGATTGAACAGCATAACATCCAAATGTCGGTTTCTTTTGCTTTAATGCTTTATTTGTAGTTTTATAGAGAGTATTGTTCGTTTATACATACATATATACACATATAGTACAACAATCGGTAAACAGTGATAGAGAGAGAGAGAGAGAGACAGAGAGACACACAGAGAGATATCGAGAATTGGAGAGAGGGAGAGATAGATACATGGCTATATTGAGTGTGGAAGTTCTTTCACCCTAAATAACTGCAAATATTACGAGTGGATACACTGAAAACGGAAACGGAACTGTCATCTTTTGCGGTGGTGGGGAGGTCTCTAACTGGGGGGCTGGGCTGAGGTACTGCTGATCATAATGCTATTTCCTAGGGCAGCAAATGTATTCTTTCCTTTTATAGTACTTTCTCTTTTATCATTGTCGCTTGTTTTGTGTTGCTTTGCTTTCTTTTCTCTTTTTTTTTCGATTTGTTTGTTTCAGCTGCGCACGCAGGTTCTTGCTTGGATTTCGCTTTGGCTTTTATACTTTTGGCTGGATTCGTGTAACTTCAAACGGTAATCGGCTATCGGTTATCGGTCACATTTAGTGGGCAATCGGCTCTAGCACTAAGTGGATCATTTCAAGAAGTAATCGACGCTTGGCTTTTATGCTCTTCAATTTTGATTTGATTTTCGTAATTTTTTGTGTTCTTTCGCTTAGTTAATTCTTGGCTTACACAGAAAGAGAGTGATAAAGAGATAGATAGATAGATAGACACATAGAGAGAGAGAGAGAGAGAGAGAGAGGCAAAGTGTGAGTGGTAATGGGAGTAATTTACACAGAAACACTATTTACAATGAAGTGCGGCTGGTTGGATGGTTCGGAAGTAGGTTCAGGGATGGGGAACTGGATGGTTGGAGGGCTGGAGGGCTGAGGTCTAAGGATGGGGGTAGTTTTTTGTGGCTCTTGGTAATTTGTTTGGTATTTTTGTTTGGTGTTCTTGTGTTTATGCTGCATGCAAAATGTCGCCTACTATGAGTACGCGTGCGTACGCGTGCGTGTTTCCATTGTATGCGTGCGATTTACGTGTAAAGAGAGTGCGTTTTTTTTTCTTTGTGTGTGTGTGTGTGTGGTTGTGGGTGTGGCCTGCCTCCAAGAGCGGCCCAGCGGACACACAACGGACTAAGGTGCAAGTAATGACAGTAATAACGAGCGCTTCGACAGCGACACAAACAAATTGTTATTTAAAAAAAAGAAAGAGAAAAAACACACAGAAAACAAATTTCACAAATTGTGCAACAAATTAGTTATCTTGCTATTGTTGTTTTTGTTGTAGTGCAATTTACTAATACTGATTGACTGATTGATTGATTGAGGTGTGGTGTGGCTGATGAGCGAACTAGGATTGCCAGAGAGACAAAGAGAGAGAAAGAGAGAGAGAGTACAACAGGTGACTTTGACTACATATGATGTGTGTTGTGAGTATGTACTAGGGATATGGCGGTTGAAACTGAGCCTCACTCTATGGTAGGATATGGCCACACGGGACTGAACTGCAACTGAGAATGGTCACACTGCTCACAAAAGGATAGACATAGGCACTAAACCTATTAAAGCGTAACGGTTGTAAAGATTCGGATGCACTGATGACAGCGATACACGTATATAATTCTAATGGCAATCTCTTCGTTCTCAGCACTCATCTTTCGGCTGATTGTGTTATCGAATCGAACAAAGGAGTAGTACGAATAAATAGACACGAAAGCATGCACATATGCGAATACTATGCACACATTGGCACGCACAGAGAGAAAGAGAGAAAGTGTGTTTTTGGAACAGTCAAATATAACAGATACAAACTAAGAGATTGTTTTTGATGCGCATTCAACAAGTAAGAAAGAAACAACGGAACTGAACGGAACGGAAACGGAAACGAACATGATACTAGATAGAACTCAAGATTAGATTAGGTAATTGATATTGATTTTGATTTGATTTAATTGATTTTTGTTGCATGTTGCATTCTGTCTGGAGTGATTGAATTGTTTGTTTGTTGGTTGGTTGGTTCTTTTGTATTCAGAGTTTTGACATTGATTGATTGATTGAGAACAAATTGAAAATTGAAACTGTAATTGAAATTGAAATTGGTGCAGTACCTCCCAGTCTTTTTTCCTGACTTCGTATTCCAGATCCCATTTCTGGCCTTCACAAATATACATACGCTCGTAATACTCTTCGCAAATCTCTTGCAATTCGCCTGCAAAAACATTGTATTTTTTCGGAATTGGGTTTTGGTTTGGTTTGGTTTTTTTTGGTTTGTACTCAAATTTAAATTCTTATTCTTATCGTTGTCGTATCGACGCTCAAAGTTCAAAGTTTGGTACTTTACCAAATAAAATCTAAGTACATAATGCTAAAAGTAATTATGATTGCATTTATTGTTTATAGAGTTTTCTTTTGGTTTATCGCAATTTTTCGTTGCTTATCGATATTTAATCGTTTGTTGTTTTGCAGCTTCATTAGATGTTATGTGTTCGATGATCGGTTTTTCTGATTCTGATTTAAGATTGGAGATTCGAGATTGAGGTTTGGAGAGTGTGGCAACTCTGGTGTGCAGTAGTAACGGATCGAGCGGAATGGAACTGAGCGGAGCGGAAAAGAGCGTTACGGTTTACTTGATTGGCTTGATTGGGTTCGCGTATGTTTTTTGGTATTTTGTTGGTTTTCGTTTGGGTTTAGTTCAAAATTGACAATTAATTGAAGATTTTCCATAGAATTTTTCCCTAATTCGCTTCATTTCGGCGGTGCCGAAGATCTGGCTTTTGGGGTGGGGGTGGGCGGTAAAGGGAGACAGTTTCCAGAGCGCTGGCCTCACCTCGCTTTGGGCATTGAGCATTTGATGTACTATTTACACATTTTTACTTGGCGCAGGCGCCAAGGACTGGAAAGTGTCTCCCGTTCCGGACTGTTTGAAGCACGCGCCGATTCGAGAAGAGCTCTCTCTTAAAAGTGGTTCTGTAGTTTAGCGCAGTTAAAACAATATCAAAATTAGGTAAAAGAAAAGAAGTATCGCAGTAGAAAGAACTAAAAATATGATTAGGAAATATTTAGAAATGAAATCAAGTAATTAAATATCAAGGGCATAATCGTAAAGTAAAAAAATAATGATTAATAATCGATTTATATATAAATATATCTTATATTCTGGTTTTTGCTTGATAAGAAAAGTAAGAAAAAAACATTCGATTTTTGTTTTTTTTTTTGTTTTTTTTTTTAAGTATTCGTTTGGTATATTTTTTTATTTTTTGGTATTTTTATAGTTTGGGTGCATGGCAAAATTTTGTAAATCTTTGGGGAATTTACCTCTTGGGCCTTGACTTTCTGCACGTGTTCTAAATCAAACTTATCGCCCTCCAATGCGTAAAGGCGTTGCCAATATTGTTTGCATATTGTTTGCAGTTCGGCTGCGGTAAACGGTAACGGTTACGGTAACGGTAGTACGGTAACGGTAGTACGGTAACGGTAGCGGTTACGGGTAAGCGGTAACGTTTTCGGTAAACGATTGTATCGACGTTTACGTCAAGCGTCAAGCGTAACGCATTGAGAATTTACGTTACGACAAATGTTTGTGTACGTGTAAGTGCGCGTGAGTTTGTGCGTGTCGTTGTGGGCATGTGTGTGGGTGGTGTGTGCGTGTGTGAGGTACGAATCAAAGAAAGAGAGATAAAGATATAGATAGATATAAAGATAGAGTGAAAGATTCAATGAGAGAGAGAGAAAGAGATTGAGATAGGTAGTTTTTGGGTGTTTTTCGTGTCGGAGATAGAGAGACGTGGAGCGAGGGAGAAGGGAAGGGACATCGAGATAGAAGTGAAGACAGAGACAGATATAAATAGAGATAAAGAGAAATAGAGATAGAGTTAGAGATAGCGAACAGAATAAAAAAAAAGATAAAGACGACGACGACGCATTTAATTGTTTTGGATTGTTCGTTCGTTTGTTTGTTCGTTTGATTGATCGATTGATTGATTGATTGATTGTCGCGATTCGAGAAAAAGAAGGATTAGATTAAGATTCGATTAATATAAAATTAAAGATTGAACTGGATCTTTATCATTTATGTAAATATGTTGTATATGTGAGAGACGGGTATTATACGATCGTATTGGTACTTTTTTTGTATTTTAGGTATTTTTCTTTCTTTGCTTTTGGTATTTTGTGCCACATGAAGTGTCTGGTATCTGTATCGGTGTTTGTGTATGTATCTGTGTCTGTTTCTGTGTCGTTGTAGGTGCTTGCGAATGCTGTGGTGCGTGGTGCGTGACTGTACTCATTGGATGACTGTACTTTGACCAAAGCATGTGCTCTGGTCACACTAAAAATGACCTCTTAATTCTTCGTTTCGTTTCTCTTTATCCATTCTTCGTTACGTTGGTATGGGTTTCTTTTTTTTAGTTTTAGTAGAAGCTTTTGTACATTGAAAATCTCAAAAATTGCATAAAATATCGAATGTATTGCTACGATAAAAAGCAAAAAAACTTGTAGCCACAAAAAAGCTATAGCTATAGGCTAGAAAAAAAAGCCGCAAAAAGCAAAAAATCGAAACAAATACAGTGACATCAAAAAATAGGTATTGTCAGCATTTGTTGCATTTCGGCATTACTTAGGGGTTAGTACTGTACTCTCTAGAGGCGGTGGAGTTAGTTTCGATCCACACGGTGCGGACCTGGTAGCCGTCTGGTTAGGGGTTAGGGGTTAGCCGCGTCGAATAGAGGGCTCTACTTTCTATATACTGGGGGTTTTAGGAGTGTGAGGGGTGTCCACTGAGACAGACACTGGTGGGAGTGCGCAAACATGTCGAATGTGGGGGTCCTGTTTGCACAGCTCTCTCCAAAAAAAATAGCCACAAAAATGCGAGTACTTTGGGGTTAACTATGGTTTCTGGCCAACTACTACATGTGCACGGTGCTGCAGAGTATTGTTTAGATTTGTTGTCCGCCGGACAACAGTCACACACAAACACACTTAGGGTGATCAGGCGCCGCTACGGCCTTCTGGCCAGAAATATTTGTATATATCTTTTGGGCTAAATCGTTTTCGGTGCGGCTTTGGCCAAGAAACTATCAAAACAGTAAAGAGTTATCGACAAGCTCTACGATTTTCGAGAGAGTGCAACGCAACACTCGAAGCTGCTGTTGCTCGGATAAGTGATATTGGAACTGGAGCTGCTTGCCTCAAAATCCTTCCTGGCTACCTCGTACTCGAGATCGAATTTCTCTGATTCCAATTTCAGTATCTTAGTGTGATAATCGTGACAGACTTTCTGAATGGTATCTGCGGAACGAAGTTGGGTTATATGTATGTCTCATTGTTCGCAGCTGCTGCTGTGTGTGCTTTTGTGTTCGAGAATATATATATATAGTTTGGTGTGGGTGTATTTATGGGAGAGAGTGTATTCGTGTGTAGTTGTGTGTAGTTGTGTGTGATCTACTCTGTGTGGGAAGAACGTTTGATGGTATTCTGGCTAGAGGGAGATAACCCCTTGACTCAATAGAGGCTACTACGCGAAAGGATCAATCCGATAGAGAATCGAAAGATCGCTTCACTAAATATGGGAAAGTGACAGACAGCGACAGCTGGCCCTAGATCTTCATTAATTGGGTGAGTAGTAGTGGTCTTTCTGTACAGTTTTTAGTGCGTTAGGAAGATAGATCTTAGGGCGGGCATTTTCCCCAAACATCAAGTGTATAATACAGAGTGTGAGAGAAAGAGAGATAAACAGAGGATAGAGAGATATTGTTTAGATGTAGAGAAAGAAAGAGATAGCTAACAGAAGGTGTTTATTGTTGTTGTTAAAAGTTTTAGACTTTTGATTTTGATGCTTTTTTTGGCTTCGTGTTGGATAGGATACGATTTTAGAGTTTAGGCATTTTGCATATATAGAGCATATATATAGAAGAGTTATATATAATATATGTATATAGCATATATAGCTGGTGGCGTGTGTGTACCTCAACATCCTTGCGCTTAACAACATACTCAAGATCATATTTCTGGTCCTCCAATTTATTAATCCTGTCATAGTGTTGCTTGATCAAAGTTTTCAGTGTGTCTGCGATCACAGATCACAGAATGAGAGTTGGTTGGTATATTTGTTGATTTTTGTGGGTTGTATGTTTTGGTGTGGGTGTTGGTGTTGGAGTTGGTGTGTGGGTGTATGGATACAGATAGATATTTCGGGGGGAAGGGCAAAAGAGAGATAAAGAGAGACATATTTAGATAGATATTTATAGATAGATTCGATTCTTCATTCGATGCTTCTTCCACTGGGGCTAGACGTTTTGTTCCTGCAGTGTATGCACAACCGTGTGTGTGTATGCAGTGTGTGTCTCTGTATGGCTGCGGGTGTGTGGGTGTTCATGTACATGTGTAAGTGTGCGTACGTGACAGATGACACTTTTTGTTCAACTTTCAATTATCGATTTATGTTTATGCCTCTGGGCACACAGACTTACGGGTACAGATTCCGAAGTACTCTACTTCCCCCGAAAGTCTGTGGGCCCTGGTTATTAATTGATTCGCTTTATATTCGTCATTCATTAATACTTTTAGGGTATTTCGTTGGGAGAGCTGCAGGGAAAACCACTGTGAAATTTGCCGCAAGGTTTCCTTGCAACTTCCCCAGAACACAAGGGGCTTAGGACGCACTCTATGGTGGACCACCGCTGTGGACCGAGGAACTCACCTTCACTGGCATCACTGAGATTCCTGGGACTGCCGCAACGTTCTTCAATGATGCGTCTACGTTCAGCCGCTTTGCGTTCCTGTTCTTTCTTCAATTCCTCAGCGGCTTTCTTACGCAGCAGCAACTGCAGGACACAACAAATGTTAGGAATCACTGGTGTGATCATTGCCGATTGTGTCCAGCACTTACCCTGAGTTTCTTCTTCCTTTCTGGGGTCATGAAACCCTTTTTGGCCTTCTTGGCTTTGGAAGCTTCCTCCATGCGCTTGCGCACCTCAGCACGCTTGCGCTCGATCTCAGCCTGTTTAGCCTTCTTTGCCTGCAATCAAACACCAAAAACAATCGACCATCGTTAGTAAGCCTACCAAACACACATAGGGGACAGCGGGTTCAGCTTTAGTTCCAGCTCCAGCTCCTGCTCCAGCTTCGAGTGCAACGAATGGGAGCCGGAATTGGAACGGCTGAATCCCGTATCCGAACCAAACAACAAAAACACAACACGGCACACAGCACTCATCATGGCGGGGACTCATCATGGACGTGGACATGGACGCGGGACGTTGAAGTAACGTGGACACACGTACACAAGTGTACCTCCTCGGCCTTCACTTTCGGATCGTTGGGATCCTTGGGCGGGCCGGCTGGCGCGGCCGCAGCTGCCGGCGCCTTTCCATTGGCAGCTGGCGCTGCCGGTTTGGCCGCAGCCGCTGCTGGCGCCGCCGGTTTGGCCGCAGCCGCAGCTGGTGCTGCGGCGGGAGCAGCTGCCTTTTTCTGCAACGAAAACGAAGAATTGTTAGTTTATATGTCGAATGGCAATTTTGGCTCACGCGTGCGAAGATTGCAATATATTTCACAAGAAAGAATAAGGCTCACACGTGAGATGATCATATTTGTCGATATCATAAAGTGCTACAAACATCTTTCTAAATGTTCAATTAAAAATTGATTAGAATTAAATTGGAAATCAATACGTGATGTTTATGAACACATCAGACAAACATCTATCACCATGACCGTTTAATTCTCGTACACATCTCACTGTGTTATGTTCACATTCTCGAAAGGCATATTGCAGTTATTTCTCACGCACAAACGTTTTTCGCCAAAGTACAAGCAGGGACAAAGACAGAGACAGAGACAGAGATAGGCACAAAGACACGAACACTAACGATAACATGAATTGTTTCGATCGATTTTGATTCGATAGTTATCATTGTCAGTGCTGACTTCTGCTCCTCGATCAGAGGGGGACTTGACGGGGTTTAAGGCTGGAGAAGGCGCAGCAATCCTGTGGGGAAGCAAGAGAAAGCATTTTGTGATCTGCGGTTAGGGCGAGGCACTTCGCTAAGATTAGATGGCAATAGCGGGGACGGGATCTCAGGGCGGTTGGGTGGGTGGAAGTTAATGCTCACCACAGTTATCCTCAGATCCTGGCGTTTTCAGTCCCGTCCAAGCCAGTGCCAATCCACAGTCCAAGTCCCCACCCAGGGGTGAGCATAGCCATGAAGCCAGGATGTCATAATGCCCCTTGTGTTGTTCATACAAGAGTTTACTGCAGAAGAAGGCCAAGTGTTAGTCACCGGTCACTGGATCACCGCACGCCCACGATACTCACCTCACCTCATCATCAGCCATTTTGATTTGTGTTTTTAGTTACTGCAAAATACAGAAAGAGAACAAGACGTGAGCTCAAAGAACTGGAACTGGAAATGAGAATGGAAAAAGAAATAGGTTCTGACATCATTTCGATTGTCCTATATATACAACGTTATACATAGATAATTTGTTAGATATCTATGTATATATGTATACATGTCTATATGTATGTCTGGCATCTGTTCCATAAATCCGTTCAGTCGCCCACTCATACGCACACCCTCGCACGCTAGTGCGATCCTATCGGGGCCACATATGCGTATGCGCAATGCATATAGCGAGCGGCGTATTACGTATACGCAGCATTTGCCCATGCCGTATATGGGGGCCCTGCTACTACATTCGCTCTCGCTCTCTCCCTGTCTATGGTATTTACTTTGGCGTGGGCGCCTGCCAGAAAGAGATGAGCATTCCTGCCTCTCTCCGATATCCGATTTCATTCGAGAACTGCAGAGGCATCACAAAGGCGTCGAGAGAGAGGGGACTCCAAGGTTCACCCACTGACGAGATTCTTTATGTAGTTAACCCACACAGCTGATACGTTATGTGTTTTGTAGGGGTTTCTTGATATGTATTAATGTTTATAAAAGAATTATAAAGAAAGCTGCAGATGATCTTGTGATGAATCAGTAGGAAGATCATGAAGTAGAAGGTAAAGAATATGTATGATTCTCAGATTATTTAGTAATCCGTTTTTGCATGATCATTTGGATCAATGAGATCTCAAGAAAAGCTATAGAGATTCAATAGTTTTTTCCGAATTTTAGCTCACATATCAATTATTTAAATACATGGAGGAACACTATATATCTCTACGTTGATTTAAATGTATTCCTTAGTATATCTTATGAACATCTCTTTTAAGAAGAGTTTGAAGATCGCTTTGTAGATATCTTTTAAGATCTCTTAAAAGAACATTTTTGTACAAATATCAATGAGAAAATCTCCACTTTACAGATCAGTTTATTAAAATGCATACAAGATGCATGACATACTAGCAGAGACTTAAACTTGAAAAAAGGTATTCCGACGGAACATTGATGGAGTTATGAAACCCCAAAAATGTCTTGGGGAACGCAGATAATATATGGTGTATATTGTCCAATTTCGCCATTATTGTGCCCAGACCAATTGCCAACCATATTGCCATATAGCGCAGGGGCAAAGGCCAAGAGCTGAGCATAAATTTAGCATGAAAACATTTCGATTTGTCTTTTACGAAGACACCTTTTCGGCGAAGGTAAGGCGTGTGAACAATCTCTGACAATGTCGACCTTCGGGCACTCACACACAGACTCAGAAGGGGTGCGGTGGGATGTGGTGTTTGGTGAAAAGAATACGAAAATCTAAGCAGATTTGAGATCTCCATTTGACACTGAACGAGCGAGGGAGAGAGATGTATGAGTTCTACTGTATGTTGTATCTCTGGGGTTTAAAAATAAACCTGTTGATAGATTCAAGAATGGGGAACCAAGAAATATGGCAGCTATTTATGATCGCAATGCTAGTTTGTCTATGTGTTCGGAAAATTTCGGTGGAAATCGTTCCTTTGTTGGGCGGTAGGATACGGAAAAATGGAACGAAAAAAATCAATTAAATATCCAAAAATCGTATTTATCCAGAGCTTTTTATGGCTATATCCACATATACATATGTACATATATACAAATATATATATATATATATTTGGATGAGCTCTGCATTTTTTGATATGTGTGCGCGTGTGTGTGTTTTTGGGTGTGTATGTTTTTCTGTGTGTATCTCGATTTCTCCCGCTGGCATTCAGGTACTCTCGCTTGGATCTATTCTATTTTGAGGCACTTTTGAGGCAGCATTTGGCTCTTTCGAAACGAAATGTATCTTGTATCTGTGGAATTCATTTTTAGCACACACACACACATACACACTCACGCACAAATACGCATGCACAATTCACCTTCTTACATAATAAGAGAGCAAGAAAAAAAAAATTGAACAAGAAACAATGATAAAAAGTGCCTAAATGTCAAAAATAGAATGTTAACTTTCTTTCAATCGATTCAATCCATATAACCGGTAGCACACTTTCGAAACGACACTTGAAAAAATATTTTAAAAAATACTATGCCAAGAAGGGGGGTTGGGATGTGGATTATAGTCACACGCACGAATTGACTGTTGGATCGAATCGGTTTTCGGGAGAGGTTCCTTTTTGGCGCAGGAGTCGCACACAATGCTTTCGGTTCCTTCGGTTCTTTGCTTTTTTTTAATTTTTATTGAATTAAGTTAGTTCTTAGATTGTAACTTTTCAATCTCGTTGGTATTGTTTGGTTTTTTTATTGTTAGCATGTTGCATGTTGCTGTTGCTTTTATTTTGTTGTTTTACAAATTTTTTTATTTTTTTACTGCTGCTGCTGTTGCTGTTGCTGTTGCTGCGGCACTCACCTTCAAGGAATTAGAAAAAAAAGAAAAAAAATTTGAGCTGTGCTGTCGATCACACGAATCGGATGATACTAAACGACACAAAAGACTGAACGGTCCGACGATCCACGGCAGACTATATTCTAGCGGCCAGCCGTTCAACGGATACAGATACTTTTCGGACCCGTTCCGAAAGCTTACTTTTCCACTCATACTCGTATCGGGAGAGAAAGAGAGAGAGAGCGATGTGTGCCGCCCACCTGCCCGTCCATAGAAAACTCGCAAGCACATGGTAGGGAGGGGAGAGGATGAGAGCGGAAGCGAGGGCGGGGAAATGGTGTGGACGAGGCAATGTGGCCACGTATCTGGGCATGAGGACTAAAAATAGACGCCTGTGGCAGCCCAAAAATCGAAATGGATACCGAAAACTGTTCACTGCTCATTCGGCTCTGATCCGATCTGTTCCGATCCGCTCCGAACCGATCCGAACCCGCACCCCTGCACCCCGACTGCAACCCCTATACTCTCTTGGAGACTATCTGTATCTGTGTATGCTGCTGCTGCTGTTTCTGGTGTAAATGGAGCCGCTTGGAATTCAATGCAATGGATAAAAATAATTTGTGCTCCAGTTGAGAGCCAGCACCACCAGCACCCGAGTGTGGGCCATGCCATGCCATTTATCCAACGACAGTGCAGTCAGACTAGTCTCGGATCCCAATAAATGCCATATGTATGAGATTTAGATGCCATCCCACAGATGGAAATGGAGCCTGCAATTATTCCAGTTGCTGGTTTTTATAAAAACCTTTAACCCTGGGGAACATCTTACAGATGCAGATGCATTTCTGATTTCAAAGATTGGATACAGCTAACTTATAGATTCGAAGAGTGGGGATAGTGGAGGTCAGCATTATCATGGAAAGCATTTATTTGGGCTACCTTGAAAAAAAGTTTAAGCAGACCAATGTCAAAGCTCCAAGGATGTGTAGGAGTTTCGGTCATTGTAATGACCCAAATAAAAAAAATCGAAGAAAAAACCCAAAGAAAGAACCCGTAGAAGAGAAGAGAAAGAAATCTCCAAGAGATTAGCCAAAGGTGGGATTAATTAAGAAGATTCATGGAAAATATATTTTTATCTAATACTGGAAGCTTGAGATGAATCTCGGACAGTAGCCAAGTGCTTTAGACTTCAGTGAAGTCCCAAGAAAGTTGTTTTGGAAATAAATCAAAAGAAAATCGAATTTTTAAATAAGCAGGTTACGTCTAAAATTCGTAGGGGAGTTTTTTAAAATAAAACTTTTTACGGATTCTAAAACGTAGCTTTTGGAATTTCCAAGAACAAAACGTGCAAGAAAAGTTTTCAAATGGAAGATAATTTTTTGCGATAGCGTCTAATAGAGTATTGTTGTTATTGATAGTTTAAGACTCAATGATAGTGTACCCTGCTTGATTAAAAAATGTAAAGATGTAGCTAGAGAGCTCTTAGAAAACGACAGTGCAGTACCTTAAGCAGATGCTATTTGAATGCCGTCTTAAAATGTTTGCTTTAAATGGAAGCCTGAAATTGTAAAAAGTATCTTAGCAAAGAGCTTGTGGCATTTCCACCAGCTTGTATTTTATGCCCACTCTCAGTTGAATTTCTCACTGCCACTGCCAAAGGAGATTCCCTTTCCCTCTACTACAAGGGGATGCCATGGATGCCTGATTAATTGAAATGGCCTTGATTGATACAATTTGTGGCTAAGCTTGTTTCAAGGGCAGCCGTTGCAGTGATTTTTGAGTGGCAGAATCGACCACCATTGCAACCGGCTGGCTCTCTTACAGGCTTACAGGAACTGAAGGTTTTACCACATAACATATTTAATGGAAGTGCATTTAACTGCCAACTGTCAAATCCTGACCGCTGTAAAATCGCGACTTACCTTGATTAAAGCGGACGCGTCCCTACTGAGCCAAAGCATTAGCTCATGGGAAAAGGATGATGGAATTTCTTTTGACGCACGTCAAAGAAGCAAGAATCAAGAAATGCTTTTAATTGCACTCGCTTTCGTTTAACCTTGATCAACGAGTGCATTGCAGTATTTTTGGACATCTCCTGTGTGTGGGCAGTAAGCTTGATCTTGGAAATTAAAATCAATATCCATTTGGGGTAGCTCTTAAAAAGCAGTTACTCATATTAATTTCAGAAAAAAGCAATAGTTGTTAAACTATCAGGGAAATTTTTCCGAAAAAAACAGCAGGAAAGGTATCTTTTGGTATACGATGTTGTAAAAATTGTTTCCTTTTAGTAAGAAATTTGGGGCTCGTATGAATTTAATGCATATAGGAGTTCATATAAGTGCATCCTACACTTGTAATACACTTGTAACAGTTTGATATCACAAGAATCTAAACACAAAAATTTGGTTGCTCTAGCTATTATAGTCTCTGAGATCTGGCGCTCACCGAGACGGACCAACAGACAACCATGGCTATATCGTTCACCACAAATCTAATGTACCCGTATACTTTTGAGGATCGGGTATAAAAATGTAATGCAATTTTTCTTCATGAGCACCTGATAATTAAATGCACCCACACGGAAAACTTTTAAC